TTCAATGGGATGAAATATCCACCGGAAACTACGAGACCGACGACCGTGACGAGATTAAAAAACTATACGGAGACTAAACAAAATGATTGAAAAACGACATCTAATAGATGTGAAGAATGAGAAAACGGAGCATTCTGGAGTGTTTTCCAAATTGTCTACTTGAGATGTCACAAATGTTGACAAGGAAAGGACAAATATCGGACAACTAATAAACGAATCGTTACAAATGTGGCTAAAAGCCGATTATGAAACGAATTTATGAGCTCGTTTAATCTTAATGAAAGCTACAAAGCCATCGGTCAGCCTGCTCGTTTAAAAAATCAATGAATACTGTCACTGAAATGTTATACAACGGGTTTTCATAATATGGTGTTGCTTCATTTTTGTGTAATATAACCCTGAAGATGACTCTGGCATCGAAGTGCATCGGTGAGAAAGGAATTTGCATTGTCCTAGTTAATTCTTGCCTTGAACCACCGATCAGGAACCGAAGGTCATTAACTGTTGCTCCATGTTACATACGGTATTTAATTTCATTTACTTCAGTAGGGTGATGGGGTGACTCAGTCAAGATTATAACCCGTGAACTTTAGACTTAGCTACTATTATGATCTTCTGCGGATTAACGATTAAATACAAGAATACATAATTCTATAACGGCAGCATTACCCTCCGGAATAACCCTGATGATAAAGCCAGTCATGAGTGCGCCAGTTGTTTCTCGTGGCTACTTCAGTAACGTCTAACTCATCGTGCATTGGAGCACCGCTTGTACGATACCAAAATAACCAGGAATAAACAGTCATAATTCTAGATGGGCTCAATCACGTATAACCAGAAAGTAAGAATCTGCTCCTGAAACTCAGTCGGTCACTGTAGATAAGGAATATTATAGTCAAAAAGGAGGTGTTGACGGGGGCAATGAACATTTGTGTGTGTATCATTTTACCGTCGACTTGCACTGTTTGTTGGGTACTGCTACATACTGTCTCGTCAGACAAGGGAAGAGAACTGAGGATATAAACTTAACATAGCGTAGTCATTTCTTTGAGCGAGGAACAGCAAGCTGTCAAAGGCGAGAAAACTACAGCACTATGGTGATCCAATAAAGCCATGCTGTTTAGTAACCGAACATTACAATGCCATTTCCAAAGACAAATTGTGTTCAGTAAGTGACCAGGCAATGCGCAGTTGAAACACAACATACACCACAAATGTAAAAAGCGAAAGAAAGTAGTTCGAGGTAGTGTTTTTCTATGAAATTAAATATTAAAGAATCGTACAAGCGCTATATTCCTTGACAGACATTAAAGACTTAAAATCGGTTAAATATACCGAGACTCAAAGTCACAAGCAGTTTTACTGCAATGTGGTCAGGGGACCGACAATTACAAATTCGTCAACATGTATATGAGGTTGAAAATTTCGCTACTGCTGAGTGAATTCTGAAATACGCGTAAAGATCACTGTGCCAAGTAACGAAGGGAAAGTTTTATGAGATGTATTACTCGCTGCACATTTGCGTTGTGATGCATAATAAAAACTGATGAAAGAGGAAATGGAAAGAATAAAAATTTTAATAGAATTTCATAGAAACTGAGGTCGAAAAAATTCTCACCTGTTTAACAGAATTTGCGGTCTGCAATCTAGAACGAACTGCGTCTAACTTCCCGGCAAATCTGAGGTAATTCAAAGACTCATTCTTCTTCCGTATTGCATTTTCGGCATAGATTCTGGCACCATCGATGTTACCTTGGGTAAGAGCCTAAAACAAGAAAAGGTGAATAAGAAAAATAGGTTACTTCATATGAAACCAATTCAACATGAATAGAAGAATCGAAAAACCAAACTTATCCACCCGAGGTCTAAAATGTGATGCTGTTAGAAATGTTGAAGAATAACAGTTGGTCAATCGAAACATTGTCACTGTATCGTAGCGTTCAAAAGTCGTGAAAAACACAGCTGCGTAAAGCCGTAGTTTACATATTCCAAAAAAAACTTTTTGGTCTCATACCTTGCCTTGGATTACCGGCAGCAGACGTCTTTAGATTCACTGAATCCTGATCGATAGTACTGTGTGCAGGTAGTTCAGTAGATGATTTTACAAACAATTCTCGCGCAGTCACTCCTATTTATGACAAGGCTGAGTCAAATGGTTCACGCATTAAAATTATAGCGAAACCAACGAACGCTTAACAATTGTGGCTGAACAAGCATTTCCCATTTCCTGTAAAGCACTGCAGAACCAACAGATACACCTGAAGTTCACATCAAAAGCAATCCTTGGGGACTCACCGACGAAAGTCTACATTTCACTGCACTCGCAGAAAAGTATGGTGACGCGGCAATTTTTTTAAACGTATAACTTTAATCCAAACAACCAAATGAATCGGATAATTGTATACTTCTGCTAACTTCATAGAGTTGACCTAAACAAACTTCCTTCTGTTCTAAAAAGTGTCCGCAGAACAGGTCAGATGTCCCAAATCAGTGTCGTAAACGTTGCGATGGATCAGAGAGTAAGATCTATTGTAAAACATGGTAAAAATATTCTAACCGATCGTCTCCATCCCTTGAATCAGGTTCTTTCAAAACTCACTTTGAGATCTCCTTCCGCAAGGTCCCAACATGTCACTGTGAGAGAACTGAAGCACAAAAAAATCTGTGCTCTCGTCGAAGGCCAGGACTTTGCAAACATGCGACGGACGGGAAAAACGGAAGCTGCTTAAATTGATCTTCTTACGTTAATCCATATATTTAGATCTTCTTCTGGATTAATCATCTAACCATTTATCCGTGTTTTCTCATAATTCCTTATCCCTTGTCTTAATATGAAGTATCTTGTTTATTGTTGAGCATTATATGAACCACTGGGTCAACGACTGCTGAAATGTTAGTCACTGCCCCAATTATAAGTGCATTTCCATCAACTGAAACAGCTTACTCATTTGACTAAGCTGATGCCAGTAAACGCATGAAATATCCGATGTGTCAAATAAAGACTTTGTCTCTTGTCTTTCGCGCTGCCAGAAACAGAAAATTGAAAGGCTTTAAAATTTATTACAACTCGTTTCGGTGTTTAGCATGTTTTGCCAAGAGTGGTGAATTCTTGCCCCGATACCATTCAGCACCAGGATATACCATTTCGTCTAGCAACCGATCTGTCATCGAGCTCAATGAACACCCATGCAGCACAAAATCCTTCTACAGAACTATTCATCGCCAAGCTGCGTCATTAGATATTTGGCGATGTTACCAGCACAAGTTTCTACTCAGGCTACAAGAAAAAGACACGGGGTAAAATGGCCAACTCAAGACAACAGGGCTATCATCAATCATAGAATAGATCAATACAGCCATAGCAAAGGCTATAATTCCTTCCTGCAACCAAAAAATGCTTTTCATTATTATTCTATCTCTACCAAGTCATTCGCTAGTACATCTTCGTCACGATTTATCAAACTTATGACTTTATCTGTGGAGAAAACAAGATTCTTTATCGATCATAGTTCAGCAATCAAAATTTAATTTCACATACAACCATATAATATTAGTTACCGAAAAAGACTATGAATATTCTTTTACGAGAGAAATATTTTTCCATTTATGCATACTTATGAAAGTCTAAAAATTATATACTTGTTCGGCAATTACACATAATAAGGAACTTAACTTTTTGACTTGCCGCCTCTGTGCCCGCATTTCCTTTTCGGCCTTCGTCGACAGTCTCTGTAGCTGCTTCTCGCTAAACTGAAACCAAAGTATTAAGGGAGAAAGCATCAACTTTAAAGAAATAATGATTGACCCTAAGCTGGAAAATAGCATCATCCATATCGCGAGCAGCAAACATGCTTCCAAAAGTTGTAACAAACCATCTGTTGTACTATATATTTAAAAATGATTGTCAAGTAGCGTAACTCCGAGCTTGCCGGTCCAAGTCCGGATGAGAAAGGAGGAGAGTTGGAGACCGTGGCAAGTCTCCGTAAAATTCAGCCACTCATGGTATTGACGCCATCGGAAATTATACCGGCACAGTAGTCGCTCGGGTTACCAAGGGACGCGCAGACTGTTGGGAGACTGAAGCAGACTGCGAAAAGTCGGCGATCAGAACCTGCTCATTGTCCTCTGCCAGCTGGGGGCATGGCAGCACAATGACGGCTGACGAAGACCGACGCAACGACGACGAAGATACCAATCAGCAACGGAGTTGCTACCAGTTCTGAACGGAGGAGGCAGACAGCACGATGCCATTACAGCACGTCAAAAAACGCTCCACGAAAACGAAATCAGAACTGGGAGCTTAAAGTCGGAAATAGGAACATATCCTCACTCAGAGGAAAAGAACATGAATTACATGATGAGACCACGAAGTACCAACTCGACATTGTTGGACTCTCTTCAACAAAACGCCCAGGCTATAGACTCCTGAACCTCAATGGATGGAAGCTGTTCTACTCAGGCGTCGATATTAA